ATTAGACAATATTAAATGGTACGTTAGCTCACGCTAAGCTCACTATCTGACAAGATGAGCACGCGACTCTATCATACGATGATCGGATGATATAGCTTGAGCTCACGCATCGATGCTCTAGGAAACTATGTGTTGAACATAAATAGAGCTAACGCTCGTTACTCGAATGACAATTATTTCCACACTTTTGAGAATAAATTTTACCGAGTTGTAAGAGAGAATTACGAGGATGACGAGTGCCGTACGAAGAGTGCCGTCGCGAGAGATTCATTTTGATATAATTTCGCTTTGAATCGAGTAGTCCAGTGTTTTGACGCGCATAGAAATGGCGGATGCTATATTTATCACGCATGTCATACTCTTGTTGACACTCAGATTATGTTCAGGTATAAAGATGATAAACTGTTGCAATTGATCTAAATATGTATTTCTATCTTTGATAATTCATTATAGAATTGCACATCTATGTCGCTTAGTTCTGGCTAATGAACTAATAAAGTCTATTCTCCCTCTTTATGATATATAACATCAAACTTTTTTATTTATTACATTGTATAGAACGTGTCCTTGAACTCAATTGCAATTTTTTTCCAATTTTTTCTTTACAATTATTTTTGTCAATGCATTATGCTGAATAATTTATTTGTTTTCAGTTATTTACATCCACTTTTAAATTTTATTTGATTATATATTACATGTCATTTAATTATTAATTTTTTAGGTGAACGAGAGATTGCTTTGCAGGAACAAGACATTTCTTTTGACGAAGAGAAATCTGATTCACCTGAATCTTTGGATCCAAATCTTGGCTTCAATATAAACAGTCAGAAACGTTTTAAATGTTATATGTGTGAAGATTCCGAATGTGTACAATCTAATGTCTGCATCAATGCAATCACTGTAAAAATTCTTATATTTTTCTATCTAGTTTTCTCAAATTTATATACATTTTTTTGTACATGCCTATCAGCTATAAATTTTTGTTTGTTTGCTCCAAAGTGTTGGAAATCCAGAATGAGAGAAGTCAGTGGTAAAGAGTTCGTTAGCCGTGGCTGTTATAAATCAGAAGAACATAAATTAATGATGTGTAATAAAGAAAATTACCAAAATATAGATCAACATAAAAAAAGGAATGTTAGAGGACTATCAGGTGCTCAATTCTCTGTGGAATGTTGTCAATCAGATTTTTGTAATGTTGGTCCATATCCCAAGTTAGAAGATTCAACCAGTGAGATATAATTTAAAATATTATATAATTAACTTTGAACAAAGTTAATATAAAAGATTCGTATAAAATTGTATAAAATTGAATTACGTTAAATATAGTAAAATTTATTACTTTGATAATGTTTTTAGACAATGATAAGGAATATCATGTAATAAGATTAACATTTGTAATTCTGGGACTACTGAGCGGGATGCTCATTTTTGGAGGAATTGCACTTTGTCTATTTGTGCATCGAGTAAGAAGGAAACGACCTATGGTCCCACGTCGGAATAAGCTTTTTCTCGATTCCGAAATTGAACCATCATCTATGTTGCATTTCTCATTTTCTTCGCCTACATCATCTGCCACTTATCATTCACATGAGCTTAGAGCAACGGCTGCTGGTGATAGTACACTTAAAGTGCGTTATTTTCTCATATTTATTACATAAGCAATACAAATTAATTTTAATTAGTATCTTATTATTATTTTAATTAGTAGTTTAATTAGTAGTTATTTAAATTAATTTTAATTATTTATAGGAGTACTTAGATGGACGAAGTTTGACCAGTGGTTCTGGTTCTGGATTACCCTTGTTAGTACAAAGAACTTTAGCTAAGCAAGTAGCGTTAGTAGAGTGTCTCGGTAGTGGTAGCAGTGGAGGATTTGGTGGAGAAGTATGGAGAGGAGTTTGGCATGGTGAAAATGTAGCTGTAAAAATTTACTTCTCACGAGACGAAGCTGCATGGGCTCGAGAGACCGAGGTTTATTCTCAACTATTACCATCCAGACATGACAATATCCTAGGATATATTGGTAGTGATATGACTAGTAGAGCCAGTTGCACTCAACTCTGGTTGGTAGTGCAATATCATCCTCTCGGTTCGCTCTTTGATCATCTTAATCGATCGCCACATCCATTGACGCCTCATCAAACGCTCAATATTTGTCTAAGTATTGCGAACGGTTTACTTTATCTGCACACGGAGATCCATGGAACCAAAGGAAAGCCAGCTATGGCTCATCGTAATCTTAAATCGAAGAATATCCTTGTCAAAACTAATGGTGGTTGTGTAATTGCTGATTTTGCATTAGCAGCTACTCAGGATCGTCTTGTAGCAGACAGAGTTGATTTACGGCAAGGCACAAAACGTTACATGAGTCCTGAAATTCTTGAGCAAACGTAAGTTAATTGTTTTCTTTATATTGAAATAAGTTGGCTGAATCTCAATGGTGCTCATTTCATATTTCCAGGGTAAATGTTGAATGTTTAGAGAGCTTTAAACGAGCTGATATCTACAGTTTAGGATTGATACTATGGGAAGTCTGTCGCAGATGCATAAGTAATGGTGTAGCCTTAGAATACGCAATGCCATACAGTGAATGGTTACCAAGCAGTAATCAAGAACCCTCCATAGAAGAAATGCGTAAATTGGTCTCATTTGATCAGAGAAGGCCGTCTCTTCCTAATAGGTCACATTCTGACCCGGTAAATTTTTTCGTTATTATATTTACAGAATATATTATATATATATATTTATCAGAATATATATATATTTTATAATATTCTTGAGACTTCCACGGATGCTTTCTATATAAAGATTATGCGTTTTGCGGGTTTCCTCCGTATCCAGATCCATTCTTGGAATACCAACGTTTCGTGAATCTTGCAGTCCACTTCATCAGGGCGAGGAGCAACTTGAGTTATTCCTCCGGGTCGTTTCTTTTTTTTATATTACGTTACTTGTTGGAGGGAAAGAAGAGAATTGTAGGAGACGGAAAGGGGAGAGGTGGGGGAAATTGATCAGTCTTCAATAACCGGGAGAATAGTTTTCCATATTTTATATTGTAACTATCTTGTAACTATATTGTAATATTATCTTTATTTAAATTATTAAGGTGTTTTTATATCTCTATGGCTTCTCTATATTTTCTTGGAAAATATGATATATTGGCTATCGTGGTCGTTTTGTCAAACAGTATTTAATGTCCTTTCGATGTTGTGTTCTGATAATGCTGATTGCGTGACGTGTTTTAATTTGATATCACGTTGGTGTTCTTTTATCCGTAGGTTGACCATTCTCCCAGTTTCTCCAATGTATATTTGCCCACAGGAAGGTAGCAGTATTTTGTATACTGCTTCTGCGGAGCTGAGTGGAAGTCTTTGATCTTTAAGATTAGGAAAAGACATAAGGAAAAAACAATATCTGAACTATCTTTAAACCACTCAAAAAGATAGGACAAATCTTAAAATCCTAAAGATCAAAGACCTTCCCTCATCTCCGCAGGAGTATACAAAATATTTTATTTCTGTGGGCTAAAGATAGTTCAGATATTGTTTTTAATATCCTTCCAATCCGATCTGTTGTTCCTTTGACATATGGGAGAATGGATAGGATCCTTTCGTCTGATTATGTATCAGAGACCATTGTCTTGTTTGCATGTTTATTGATTGTTTTGATTATGTCTTTTCCTAATCCTAAAGATCAAAGACTTCCACTCAGCTCCGCAGAAGCAGTATACAAAATACTGCTATCTTCCTGCGGGCAAATATACATTGGAGAAACTGGGAGAATGATCAACCTACGGATAAAAGAACACTAATGTGATGTCAGGTTAAAACACGTCATGCAATCAACATTATCAGAACATAATATCGAAACAGGACATCAAATACTGTTTGACAAAACGATCATAACATTACATCATACTTTCCAAGAAAGTATAGAGAAGCCATAGAGATACAAAAACACTCTAACAATCTAAATAGATAATGACTATAACATAAATAAAATAATATGGAATTCTCTCCTATTCTCCCGGTTATTGAAAACTGATCGATTTCCTTCACCTCTCCTCTCTTCCGCACTCACAATTCTCTTCTTTTCTTCCACTATTTCAACAAGTAGCGTAATACAAAAAAGGAACGATCCCAAAGAACAGCTCAGTATCAGACTGTGCTCCTCGCCCTAATGAAGTGGACTGCAAAGTTCACAAAATGTTGGCATTCCAAGAATGGATCTGGACACGGAGGAAACCCAGGAAACACATAATCTTTATATAAAATATAATATTTTATCAGAATGGAACAATTAAAACAATTAGATCAAATTTGAATTTATCATTTATTACATTAGCAATAATGAAGATACTACTTTTGTAGACATTGGCTGGAATGGGAAAATTAATGCGAGAATGTTGGCATGGCAAACCAGCGGCCAGATTACCCATACTTAGGGTAAAGAAGACACTCGTTAAATTAGCAGCTAGTGATTCACGTGTTCATTTACCCCTTGACTGACCAGCGTTTATCTTACCTCTCTTTCATTCATCTATTTATTACTGTAATTGCTGCACCAACTTGTCATATATATATGTATGTATGTATATATGTATGTATGTATGTATAAATGCATGCATATATGTATGTATGTTTGATCATTATCAACATTCATACGTTATCAGATCGTTATATCATAAAGATAAAAAATATCGTATATTGACATATCCAAGTAACGACGGTAATAAGTTTGTTAATGTTTGGCATATGGATTTATTGCTTTATGTTCCACATTATCTCATTCTGGAACATATTTTGAAACAATAATAGCATTAAGTATATAATTTCGTAACATTGATCAAACCAGATCAAGGAATATTGATTCAATATACAAGAAATTAAGTGTTGCGATTATTAAAAATTGTTTGTTAAAAAAATATAGCTACTATAAAGAGAATGTAAACTTTTTCATAATTTACTAGATTGTGAAGAAGCGAATAATGTAGATGCGAATTTTTCTAATTGAGATTAATTTAGTGATCGATATTTCATTTAATGTAACAGATGTTATCATTATAACATTAAGAAGATTACATCATTTTAAACGTTTTTTTTTACGACTCGGTTTGGTTTAGCTAATATACAGATTTGTATATACAAAAATATTAACAATCGTCTCAGTAATATCATATATGCACGCGCACACACACACACACATAGACACACAGAAATATATTATTTCCAGTAAATTCCTTTTAAAAATTGTAAAAATTAAAATATTTGTTTCAACAAGATTTTTTAAGTATCAGTACTATCGAGTGAACAAATATAATCAAAAGATTATTTGTAAATAATGTATCTCTATTAATAGAATTATATAAGTATCACAAGGCGTTCTTATCTTAAAATCATAGTTACATCAGTGAATTACAAACAGATATTAATGACAATGAATGAAAAGTGTGTAAGATTATCACAAAGATATATGACTGTACAATACTTGAAATATAATTTCATCAATTGCTTTTTTATTCAATGTTTATATATAGTTATAATTATGTATAAAAATAATTACTCGAAGCACTATCAAAGAACATATGAAGAGTTTATAGTACAGCATATAGTATAATCAGGTGTAATACAATTGTACAAAGATTTGTATCTGACAAATACTGTATATTGACTTAACACGAATATGCCAATATAATGTAATAGACTACCTTGAATTATCATCTTCTAGAGGTAATAACAATAACTTTTCTAATAAAGTGCTGTTATTTGAACTGTGACTACCAATACATTGACTGAAAAATTGATGGAGATGTAATGGATCATTCGTATGCAATAAAATTATAAATGCGTATCTCCATATTAAAGGTTCCAATTCAACAGGACATTCAAGAAGTCTAGGAAATAAATTTAATGCATGCTTCCAATCTTGACGGGCGATATAAGATTGCATCTCTAACAATGCTAAATTTTTTGAAAATCCTACAAATGCTGCCCTTTTCTTATCACCTTGAAATTTCTTACAAATAACTTTACGGTTATTTGTGACTTCTTTCATATCTCGTCTTTTTCTCTCCGTAATATGTTTCATTACAAGTTTTCTAGCCTTATCCTAAAAAGTCACAAAAGCTCTCAATATAATTAGAACTACATAATTTACAATATTATTGTCTATTATGTGTATCATAGCTCTATAATAAATTACATACCACATTAGATTTTGTAATTTTTCGGACTGAATCTTGCGACATAGTTTCACTTATAGATGTAATTGTTTTTTCTTTTTCTCAAATTTGATATTTCTGCATAAAATTTAAAATAATAAATAATTTATAATTGCAAACTTAAATAATGTATATATAAACAATATTTTTAGGTTAAATAAGATTATATTAAATACCTATATATTTTCTTTCTGTCTCTCTCTCTCTCTCTTTCTTTCTCTCTTATCATATATATTACGCAAATAAAAATTTGTATTTCTAACAAGTTCAAAATAAATTTTACAAATTTTACAGTTCAAGGAAAAATATGAGAACTAATCATAACAATTAATAACCGAAAGGAGATTCAGTTAGGGACTCCGCACAATAAAAGGAACAGGGAACAGAGAACAGAAAATAAAAATTTCAACCTATCAGAAAGCATGTATTGTGGAATACACAATTTCTGGTAGGTTGAAAATCTTACTCTCCGTTTCCTGTTCCTTTTATTGCTCGGAGCCCTTTTACACTTAATGGGTGCATTCAGTGTTACAACCGTTCAGGCGCTCACTGAAAGACAGTAATTAACTAAAAGAGTTGTTGTTCAATACTTTTAGTATCAAATGAATAATTAATTACTGTTTTTTAATAATAAATTGATTAGTATAAGATTTTTGTAAGAGAAAATATACATGCTGAATTAGAACGTTGGAGAGATCCTAAGTTCAAATTCTTTTTTTTCTCCTATTTTATATATATATATATATATATATGTTTTTCTGAAATCAAGTTTGTAATAAACATATATATAATAAAACGTATTAGATCAAATATACTTTCATATAATTTTTGAAATTATTCATGTGTGTAGTTTTCAAGAAACAACTGTAGGAAAAAACTAATTCGCTTTACAATAAACAATTAATAAAAAATTATTTTAAAATTACGCAAAGTATAAAAAGTTTTCTTTGTATATTATAAAATTACATTGGCATCATCTTTATTATTTATATTAATAATCTCACTTTCAAAATTTCGTTTATTATCAGAATTTTAAATGCGAATGTATGATGAAAAAAACATTTTAAGCAAAATATTTGATACCAAGCATATTTGTGATGAATACAACATCCATTACAAAAACTTTTTTAAAATTTTTTTTTAAGGAAAACAACTTTATTTTTATTTAACATTATTGATTTTTCATCTTTTTTTCTTATAATTTTGTTGATTTTAAAATACACGAATAATTGCAATAATTATATGAGAATATTATATGTTGTTTGATCTTATATTGATATTAATTTAACTACTTATATAACAAAAATATACTACAAAAAAAAAGAGAAATATAGTAAAATTCGCGCGTACGATGTCCATCCAGTGTACTATGATGATATGAGAAGATAAGATATATACCAGTAGCGGGATTCTCTAAACATCTTACCAATAATTGTCGTTATCGTTAACTAACGAGAGCCAATGACAGGACAATCCTGAAAGAAAGCACGGTTCTCATTAACAATAGCGACAATTGTCGATAAAATGTTTAAAGATTCCCACAATAGATATATCATTCCCGAGAATGCGTAGTAGGAGTCAATATGAAGCCAAAATTTTATTGACTATTCCAATATGCCAAAGCTATTAAACGCAGGAAAGTGCATAGAAGTCAAAATTTGATTGGTTTCCAGTATTGCCATTATACATAATAGTATATCTTATATTCTTACATGAGTGTATTATTCGTGTATACACTTTTGTTTACTTACTCCACACTCTGATTAATTGCGTTTGACATTTACAAATGCAATACATAACTCACACGATGAATGCTCTCGCGTTCTCGCGTATTGTCAAAAATGGCTGCATTCAGATTTAACAGTTGAGTGAGCGCTCACTGCTATTGATGTATTCTTCTAGATCTAAAATGCTGATTGGATGATCTAAAAGAATACATCAATAACAGGGAGCGCTCACTCAACTGTTTAGCCCGCTAGAGGCAACCATTGGGCGCATTCAGTCTATAACCGTCAAGCTGCTGTCCCATGAGTGGAAATTTACAGCGGAATAGAACAGCGTAACCAGTTACAACTCTGTAGTACTCCGTTTTTTTTTCTGCGATTATGATTGGTCTCGCTGTTCCGCTGTAAATTTTCGTTCATGGGACGATGGCCTTACTGAGCATTCAGTAAACTCTTACATCTGATTTGCATATTCTGTTAGAACTAAAAATATAGACCAAATAAGAACTCGTGAGCAGTAGTACTAAACGCACTCATTGGCTGCGTTTAGCCGATTCAACAGTCAAATAAGCGCTCGTTGCTATTGATGTATTCTTTTAGATCCAATCAGCATCTTAAATCTGGAAGAATACATCTGGAAGAATCACAATCTGGAAGAATAGCAGCGAACGTTTATTCAATTGTTGAATCCGCTGAACACAGTTATTCTCGATCGATTTATCGATGCGATGTTATTATCAAATCTCTCTCTCTCTCTCTCTCTCTCTCTCTTCTCCCTACCATCTTTCTCTCAATAGGGTTGGAACGAATATTTGATAATATTACTTCATTCTTATTTGTTTTTAAAAAATTCGACAATTATTTAGAGAAATTTAAAAGACATAGTAATCTTTCGAAAAAGATTTAAGATTTGAAACTCTTTTAATTTGAATTTCAACTTTTAATAAAATTACAGTTGCTTGCATTTTGAAGTTCATGCTACAAACTTTTTATTGAACCTATTACATTTTCTGTAATCCCTTCAAATGTAAAAAATTTTAATGCAAATAACAAAATTTATGCTGTACATACATACAAGTAGTAGGTTCAATCAACTCTTTTGATACTTTTATTATATAATACAAAATCAGATTTCATTATATACACATATATACATTTACATCATTTTCTGAAGTAAAGAAAGCAAAGTTTGGCATCTCTCTTTCACCTACAATAAGGAATATTTATATATATATATATGTGTGTGTATGTATGTGTATGCGCGCGCGTGTATGTGTGTGTGTGTGTGTGTAAAAATATACAGGGTGTCCCAAAATTCACGCATTCAGAGAACAGGACATGATACTTTACGTTAAAATAAAGAATTTTTTTTCTTTTGCAAAATTGTATCTGACAAGTAGTTTTTGCAGAAGAGCAGATTAAAATTAACAAATAAACGCAAAAATTATTTATCGGGTGCAATTTTGCTAAAGGAAAAAGTTGTTTGTTTTAGCAGAAAGTATATGTTCTATATTCCGAATGCGCAAATTTTGGGACATCTTGTACATATATATATGTATATATATATATATATTAAAAATAAATGGAATATTACTTGATCAACGGTACGATTTTCTAATTTTTCACTAATCAGTAGGAATGAATTTTCAGAATATTCCTTTTTGATATTTTGTAGCAAAATCATATCTTCCTGACGTGTCCATGGTTTATCATTAGTTAAATCGGATTTCGATGACATATTATTTTCCGTTGCTGTTATAAGCACTGTTTCTATATTTTTATCTATAAAACAAAAAATATACAAAATTAAAAAAGATACATTATTTAAGTGTTATATCATAATTATTATTATTCAAATTTTAAGAATATAATTCACAGATAAGACTTACTTGAATTAAAACCAATATTATTGCTTATATTTGAAGAAATTTGTGTTTTTGTAATTACTTCAGTACTTGACAAATTATCTGACATTGATAATTGCGTACAACTATTTTCAGTTTCTGTAAATTCACTTGTTTTTTCATGCCTTATAACATCAAGTTCATTTTGCTCTAATGAAACACTTTCTTCAATCTTTTTTTCTCGTTTATTCTTGCACTGAGATATACGCATTCTTTTATCTACAATTGCATGATCTACAGTTCCTATTCTTTTTAAAATTTTTCTTTGATCTGTTTTGAGCGTAAATTTGACATTTCTTTTTGACTTTGTTATTGCCTTTTCATTATCTTCATTATCTTTTATTGGCGAATATTTTGTAGCGCACTGTTTTTTACAAAGATCCTCGTGATTAGAATTATTCTTTGATGATTTCCGTCGTTTTTTAGAAGAAATTGATTGAGGAATGGTTTTATCAGCAATTTTTAATGATATTCGTGCAATATTTTCTAATTTCTCCTGATCCTCTCCGGCAAATGTAATTTTTGCAGGTCGTAATCCTTCAGGTGTTTGAAGATAAATTCTTCCATTAAGAAACTATTAAAAGAAGAGAAACAAATAGAATGAATATCCGTATTTAGGCAAACAAATGTAAAAGTTATATATTTAATATCGTTATATATGATGCATACTCGTATACCACAGGAAACACAATGTTCAGAATTATTTTTCGAACTTGCTTCATCAATATTATGACAATCACATTTACAATTCTCCCCACCATATGGATCCTCCTGATATGTCGCTGTTGGTAATTCTATATTTTCATATAACTCTGATGCATTTTCCATGTAAGTTGTGTTTTTATCATAAGGTCCTAATGGACATGTCATATTTTCGAACATATGAGGTGCAAACAAACTAAAAATATCAAACATAATTTTATATAATTATTAGGTTTCCATAATTTATAAATGATATAAAAATATTATATAGGAAATTGTACAATGTAACTTATACGAATTAATTCTTAATTATATTCACTTTCAGATATTTTTTTTTATTTATTATACGTTGGAAAATAAAGTCTAAACAATTTAAATTATATGATTTTGTTCTTGTTTTACACATTAAATTTGGCCTAAAGTATTGATGTACAATTAAGAATCACCATATATAATACATTTACTTTTCATTTATATAAAAAAGTTATTACCTTTCGGGAGGTTTTGCAGTAGGTAGAATTTGTAAGAACAAATCCATAACGAGTGGATGACCTTTAAAAACAGTATTCATAACGGCATAGACATTTTCTAAAGTTGTGTGTGGATCAGACGAAAGTTGTGTAATTGCCTGCATCATCTTTGCTATCCGTGATGGTTGCTTAGCAAAATATATTTGAGCAACATGAACAAAATCGTTCATTTTTTGTAACATCATATATTCGGCAGATTTACCAATTATTGCAGCTTGATGTGGTTTTAAAAATAATACAAAGTCCGTGCATACTTCTGGATAATTTTGTAATTTTTTACAAATTTCTTGATATAATTGGATTGTTAATATATCTTTTTTAATTGCATTATCTTCTATCTGTTTATTTGTTGAAAAGTTTTCAGATCTATCAGTTATTGATGGGTCAGTAACTGTATGGTTAATACCGTCTAGTTTTTCACTATAATCCAAAAATAACTTTATCACAGCTTTAAACGTTTCTGGATCATTGGATTCTAATATCAAGTGTAATTTCTGAAGATATGACGCTGCAAATTCTATGTAAAAGAAGATATAAATTAAAAATAAATTTGATATATTTTATAATACAATCATACATTAACTTACTTGCTTCATGTTCTTCTTCGGTCAATGGATTTTCAGCTTTTAATAATCTTTTAATAATTTCTAATTCTCTAGTTTGTTTAGCTTTTTTCCTACTTACCGGATCTTTTATTATTGTACTACTAGCTAACATTAATTCTGCTATTTCTTCTTCATTATCCTAAGAAAAAAATGTATTTGGATAAATATATTACTCAACATTTTTTTAAGATAAGAACTCACAACTTTTGATGTGGAACAATGTTCATCAATATTTTTATCTGCGACATCCTTTTCTTTAGATTTCAAGGTACTGCAATTGAACGAGTTTTTTGAACCTAAAGCTTGTGCCATCAATTTCATATTTTGAGCACTTTTTGTTTTTGCTAATCGTGGAGTGGTCTTTCGTATTTGTGGTAATTCTGGTGATATTTGTGGAGACTCCTTGGACATTTTTGAACTTCTAGTTAATACAGTATTTAATTTTATATTATTTTTATCTAATGATTTATCTGTTTGTATTGGCTCTACATCTAAAGTATCTACTTTTGAGGAGCAAGAATTTGTGTGCCCTTTATGTACCGCCGTTTTTCTTTTATGTGTTTCCATATTTTGTATACTATTATCAACTATTTTTTTATCTTCGCCGCTATCGAATTTGCAACCTTTTTTAGTAGAATTATCTATTTTAGATAAAGCTTTGGGATTTAAAGTTGCAGGTAATATCTTTGGTAACATATTTACAACTGGATTTCGTAAAAGATGGTTATTAGGGATACTAGGATATGATTTTATTATTGCGTTCATATTAATCCCTTCTTTAGCAAGAGAAAGATTACTGTACGAGTCAAATATATATCTACTTTTTGCCAAATCATTTTTATGCTCTTTTTGCTGTAATAATAAATAAGAAATTAATATTTAATTAATAATTAAATATTAACAGATTGAGGCAGGTTAAGTTGCAGGTGTTACATGTGTAATTTAACGTGTAAATAAAATACAATAAATTACTGCTTTCTTCTATTAAATATAAATATAGTGTAATTGTTATACTTACAAGATATGTTTGCCATTTTAAAGATAAAAGTTCTATTGGTTGATCCTTTGGAGCTTTCAGTGGAAATTCAGATGTTACATAATGTATTATTTTAGGAGCGCAACCTTTTTCAAAATAATGCTGTAATAAATTTTATTTAATTGTATTTATGATATAAATCTCAAAAATATTTACAATATACAAATATTTAATACCTTGATTGGATTTTCATCTTTAGAAGAACGTCTTTTATAAATATGATGCAATATTCCTTGTGCATCTCTACATGGTAATAGATAATGGCTAATAAGTTGAACTGCATCGAACAATTGCATTTTTTTTGTATGAAATTTTTTTGATTTAGAAGAAACAAATGGCAAAAACTGCTCTATGCCCAGTGCAATTAAACTGGAAATGCAATATACTAAAATAAGATAAAATAAAATGTTTTAACACATAAATTTGAATATACTTACGTTTCCTCCGCTTTTGAATATGCAGGTTTCTTGTATTTAACTCCATTTCTGAAAGGTATCGACGGTAGAAGATGTGGATACATAAGAGCCTTACTTTCAACAAATAATTTCTCTAATTCAGGGAGAAATTGTTCGATATATCTATATTTATTTACACAATACATTTTAGTTTTAGCAGTTTCATTAGTTATATTCTTTTTGAAGTTTGTATAAAACTTGGTGTCATTAAACTTGTTTTCCCAAGTTGATACCAATTTTAAAGCTGCTTCCAAATTCTTTATATTAAATGCAGATTTCGGTCCATTACTCAAATATCTAATAAGTATGATATTTTTTATTAGAATTTATGATGTGATTGGTTTACTATATCTCTGATATTATATAATCATACCTTAAACTATTCAAGTTCTGTTTACATACTTTTGCCAATAAATGATATTCTGGATGCATGTAAGTCATAACAAAATGCTGTGCTATTAATTGTACATGTTGTTGGAATTGTGTTGCTAATAGAAGACGTTCATAGTCCATCAATTTTGGCAATTCAGATTCTGCAAATACTGGTAAAAGATGTACTACAGAGGAATTCTGAAAGCGCAAGTATAAATTATTACAGTTTTTATTGAACTATATTACATTTGCATAAATTTACATTGTCCAAACGTGATATAATTTTTCTTACCATAACATCATTCTCAATTGGTGGTGTCGTATTATCTAGAACTTTTTTCTTTCTTGATATTTCTTGTTCTTGTGTCGAGAACATAGGAGTTAATTCAAGTAATTCTGCAATCAAATCATATTGCTCCTTACGAGGAACTTCTACTGCTCTATCTGTTCTAAGCTCTTCCTTGTCCCCTAATATTTGTTAAAGTTGGATATAATTTTTATGTGCAAAATATATCAAGAAAGTGAAATATAATATAGATATAAATATTATATCATTTTATGAGAATGCATACATAAATCTGTTTCATCTTCCAAGATATTGTATTCTGGATCTGCGTCTGGATCATCTTCTACAGCTGGTTCTTGCGTCAAAGGTTGCGTAAATTCTTTTAAAAAGTTATCCCAATCTTCATCAAGTTCACAATCCCAATCATCAGTCATATCAGCAGTTATATCAGGTGGTATAAATGCTTGCTCTATTTCCTCCAAAGAAGTTTCGCTTAAAGATAACTTGGAGCGCGTTCTTTGGCCAATACTCTCTTCTTCTGTTGTAATAGGCGGTACACTTAAAAATAATATTTATTATGAAATAAATCAATGATATTTTAAGATATTTTATGCAAGCAAAAAATGTTAAAAGCTCTCACAATATAATCAAATATAATAAAGATAGATATTTTTCACACATACGCAGGTATTTTAAAAATTCCTTCAGAATCATACAGTATATGCGATGACATTTGTTGTTGAGAAGAAGCTGTATCCTTATTTGTTGATATTGATAATTGTGACTCAATATAATTATTTCCTATAATTTCTACTTCTCTATCATCGTCACTCTGTTTATCATGTTCAGGATTATATTCTTCATCAGATGAATCTTCTGGTAGCTCCTCCTGAATTAAAGCTTGTACTTCAGAGGAAGTTTTTTGTGCTGTAGTGATAGGCCATAGTATATCGACTTTGGCAGCTGCTAATTTTCTATAAAAAATAAATCAAAAGTTATATAAAGTAATATAAACTGCAAATAATCATTACTACACATAAAGAAAAAAAATAAAAATTACAATATAAAAGTACATGACACATACTTAGCTTTAGCTCGTGTGAGTTTAGGACCAATATTAATATCATTTTCAGTATCTTGAAGCCATTTTTGTACCATTGTCATTAAATGTTCATAGGGGATTACGTGTTTCAAAATGTTTTTGACATTAGTGGCAGTTAAATTAGTTTTGGCAGCTTTAGCATCAAGTTGTCTCTCAATCTCTTCTTCCATTTCATTAAGTACCGATGCTTCTTCAACAGCTTCTCTCTTATGTTTACTAGACGGTTCATAATTATCCACTTCGGATATGTCGATTTGTAAGTCTGCATTTTCGGAATCAGTTGAGTTTTCACTATTAACGTCGTTAAAGTCAAAGTTAATTGAAAAAGAGAGGTTGCATTTCTTGGGTGATTCGGTAAAGGAAACCGAGGATGTTAATATGTCAGAGTCATTTTGCACAAGCTTATTTGTTGATTCCTCCATTTTAATGAAAATAACTTGTATTAAATTTATAATTCATTATAAATACCGGTTTTATTTTTCTGAAAAACGTCACTATTTCGATGCAACAAGCAATCTCCCTAACCATTTTTGACTCTTGTCAGAAAATTGTCATTAAGGTGCATTTTCATGAGCTGTTATTTCAGTGACAAAAAAAATCACGTGATGACTTTGTCGCAAAACTGAAGGTTCGGATCTACGAATTAAAAAGTGTTTAAAAGTCCTAAGTCGTAAGAAATTGACAATTATAAAATCTATTAAAAATAAAATCTATTATAGATAAAATCTATTATAAATTTTAATTTTTATAGATCTATTACAAATTTTAATCTATTATAGATTTTATATTTATGACAGATAAAAATCTATTATAAATTCGGGATAAACACAAAGATGAAATAATATATGGAGGCACTTAAGTAATGTTTTCAAATGTAACCCCAATATTAAACAAGGGTGAGTAAAGGTAAAGTTAGATGAACTTTCTGAACACAGCCCAGCCTAATTTAATGCATGGTGTATTTTGTATATATACGACTGTATAAGGTTATGTCTTATATCTCGTGCGAATTTTTAAATTGTGCCGGGGACACTTCTTTATTAGCTCTAATATGTAACAATATTTGAAAATTACTTATCAAATTAGCCTCGAAGATTACTTATCACATAGCTTCGAACGACGATAAAAATGAAGCTGGTCAAACCAAATTGGGTTACTCACGATGGTTTGTGATATTTTCTGCTATTGCATGATATCTCAAAAAGTTATAATTTTAATGAATAATTTTAATGTTTATTTTTCATCAGGATACCCAATATTTTCTATCGATATACATCCCAATGGAAAAAGGTTTGCTACTGGTGGTCAAGGTATACTTATTGTTTGTACATCTTACTCTTCAATGAAGATATATATTAAATTGGAGTAATATATTAGAAATGCCAATAAAATATCAGTAATATTTAAAATTTTATTTTTGTACTTATTGTTATATTTGAATTAGGTGGTGATTCAGGAAGAGTTGTTATATGGAATATGGAACCAGTAGTTAATGAGACTGCTGAATTAGACTCTAATGTTCCAAAGATGCTGTGTCAATTAGACAATCATCTTGGTAATTTAATTGATTAATTTTGTTTATGTTATTAACTCATAGATATAAAAAAAATTTTTTTTTTAACTTTTATTTAGCATGCGTGAATTGTGTACGATGGAGCAATAGTGGATTGTTGGCATCAGGTGGTGTAGATAAGCTTATTATGATTTGGAGATTATCTGGATCAGGAGGAAGCTCTATTTTTGGTGGAAAAGCTAGTGTCGAAACTTGGAGATGTATCGCAACGTTACGCTCACACGAAGCTGATGTACTTGATCTTGCATGGGCACCACATAGTCCATGGTTGGCTTCTGCCTCAGTGGATAACAGTGTTATAGTATGGGATGCATCCAAGTTTCCTGCAGTAGTTGCAGTATTAAAAGGTCATACAGGTTTTGTAAAAGGAATTACTTGGGATCCTGTGGGGAAATATTTAGCATCTCAATCTGATGACAAAACATTGAGAGTATGGCATACTACGGATTGGACGGAAGCAGCTTTAATATCTGAGCCATTCGACGAATGTGGTGGCACAACTCATGTTCTAAGACTTTCCTGGAGTCCAGATGGTCAGTATTTAGTATCTGCCCATGCTATGAATGGAGGAGGACCTACAGCTCAAATAATTGAAAGGGATGGATGGACACAGGATAAAGATTTTGTTGGACATAGGAAGGCAGTAACTTGTGTTGTAAGTATTAGATATATTTCTTTTTTTATTCTTTCTTTTTTCTTTTTTCTTTTTTTTTTCTAATACTAAGAAGAAAATTTTTTAATCGAAAATTATTGTATTGAACATCTATATAATATTTTAGAGATTTAATGGCAATATTCTACAGAAGAAACAACCAGGTTCCTCTAAGCCACAACAGTATTGCTGTGTTGCAATAGGATCACGAGATCGTTCTCTATCTGTATGGTTAACATCCTTGAAAAGACCTTTGGTCGTAATTCACGAGTTGTTTACACATTCTGTATTAGATGCTAGTTGGTCGCCATGTGGTCTTCGTCTTGCCGCATGTTCTTGGGATGGAACAGCTGTATTTA